CCCTCTCATTGTAACGGGGTGACTCAAGCTGGGCGAGAGTTTGGATGTGGCGTGGCTTTTAACCCAAGCGCGGAGTGACTGACGCCGGGTTGAATGGACACGCTGTTTAATCTGGGAGCCGGGTACGCAGCTGTATTGTGACACAGCTGAACACGGCGACTCCTGGTCTGAAGCTGATCTGTACGAACAGGCAGGATTCGGAGATCGGGCTGGTCTGATCTGAACAGGCTTCGTGATCTGAGCTGATCTGGTTAGGACTCTAGGTTAAGTTCGGTGAGAACGATGACTGAGTGAGCCGGCGTTGTGCGGCACTTCCTTATATAGGTTTGGCGGGTGACGTGAAACGGAAAACCTGGCGCTAGGGATGTTGGGTAATGGAGTCTGAGCGGCTCTGCGGTGCCTCCCTAGAGGAGGTTGACGGCTGAGCGGGAGGTTGTGTGACACTCATGGCCAGGGTACTATGGATAGTGTCGGTGCTGCTGCTGCTTGTGCTCAGGTCTCCAGGGGCATCCTCAGCCCCCGCCCAACACCTGTGTGGCTCTCACCTGGTGGATGCCCTCTACTTTGTGTGTGGGGAGAGAGGATTTTTCTACAGTCCAAACCGAGCCCACAAGCGGGATCTGGAACATCTGCTCGGTAAGGCTGCTTTAGAGGGAATGTTTTTTTATCATTTCATCACCAAAGGCCAGTGGCAGTGAGCAGAGGAGTTAAAGCTGGAGAACATAATTTAAAATAGCAATGAAAACACAAAACTCTGCTTCAGACACATCGTTTTTAATAATTAAAATTAATTAATTGGAGAAACAGCTGAAACTAAAGAAGGACATTTGATCAACCAAAATCAGGAGATGTCCAAAAAGTTTGAAAGCTTGAATGACTTTTAAGGGACATACCGTAATTTCTGGACTATAGAGCACACCTCAACATAAGCCGCACCAACTAAAAAAAGGTTTTCTACACACACGCCATACTCGAATCCAAGCTGCGGTGCAGCAGCCACATGCAGGTCTCTGGCGCACAGCGCATGTACGGCCATAACATGAGATAATTAGACAGAAAGACGCTACACGGAGGTTTTTCGTTGTTTTAATTCAACAAAACGAATTTTAAACCTGGGTGAACGTGCCTGCAAGTTTAGAAAAGAAAACAGCACTGATAGCATTCATATTTCTGGATGGTTATAAAATAAAAACAGCACTGACACGTTATTACCGGTAATTTGCATGTTTAGAAGAAAAGAACAGCGCTGACACAGCATTAACAAGCCCTGGATGATTAGAAAATAACAACTGCACACAAAACATGCCTGGTTAGTAAATAAAACACACTTGCCTACCAGAAGAAGTCATTCGCTCTCATCTTCCTCTTGCGCACTAAAGCCATTAAAGTCCTCTTCTTCAGTGTCGGAGTTGAACAACCTCAGAAGAGCTTCGTCACATACCTTTTCTGTGGCGATGTCAATGTTGCTGTCATCATCCCCGGGTGAAGCTGGCTTGAATGAGTTCTTCCCGCTGCCGTCTCCAGCGCCGAACCATGGATTCATTCATGCCAAGCTTACATGCGGCAGCACTGTTTCCCCCCTTTACTGCCAGATCGATGGCCTTCAACTTAAATGCGGCAACATATGAACTCATACGTGTAGTTACCATGATGAGGGGGTATGGACTTGAAAAAACTCTTCGTGGTGCCTGCTGCTTGCATGTGCTAAATTAAAATGAGAGCTTTCTTCGATTTCCACTTTTGATGTCAAACTGTTTCACTTTCTGCTACAGCGCCCCCTGCAGGTGAAGGAAAATCTTCAGTAAAGCCGCACCTCATTATAAGCTGCATAGCAGTGGCGGCTGGTGAAAAGTATTTTTGGTGGGGCTGTGCTATTTTTTTTTTTAACAAACTTGTGCTTTCTGAGCTTTGTGCACAACTTCACTATTTCCTGAATTAAGCACAGCTCTTTTATTTCCTGTCTTACATTATTGGACAAAGGGATTAATCCACGTGCTGGGACGTAATTTTGGGGGGGGGACGGGTGGGACATGTCCCCCCCACTTTTTCAAAAGGCAGTTTCGGTCCCCTTCACTTTTTTCCGTCCAAAAACAATATTACGCTCCATTAAATGGATTTGATTGAGCACTAGGACCGAAACGGAAACCGGTTTCCTATTAGACCCACCCAAAAGCTAATCTATTGGCTCTGCTGATACTTGCTAACGTATTATTGGCTGTTGCTGCTGTCACTCAAGTTGTAAACAGAACGTGCTCACGTTGTTTTGCTAGTTTGGAGCCGCTAGGGAACACCGGTACTGAGTCACATCGTCAACTAGACGCTGTGTAATATCAGAGCTCAGCTCAGCTTCCATTATATAACATTTGAATAAGTGTTCATTTGTGAGTCTTTGGTAGTTATGCACAGCCAGGCGGCAGCATGTCAAGAAACGAAAGTGGATATAAGAGACTTCTTTCAAAGTCAAAACGTAAGTTGGAACATGTGACACCGCTGCATTAAGCTCAGACTCACCTCCTCCTTCACAAACATACTCAAAACTAACTTTTACAAACTAATCTCCTCCACATAACTGACTCCTCAGACACAATTTATTCGTATTATTATAATTATTATTATTATTACTATTATCATCATGATTATTATTACTAGTAGTAGTAGTAGTAGAAGTGTAACTTCAAAACTTTTATCATTTAACTTTATTGTAAACTTATCTATTGCAATGTATATGTTCACATTAAAAAGCTCTGAAAAATGAACAGTATCATCATCATCAACAGATTTTTTTAAGCTTAATGTCAAAGATGTACTCTTTTCATTAGATTTATCTTATTTTTTCCATTTATTTTTTGTGTGTTGAAATGCAACAACTGTTTAAACACTTTTAAGGGAAAAAACATATTTAATATGTTTTTATACACTCAAATTGGTAATAAATAATTTACACATTATATTAATAATAATTGTGAATCATACTAGAACCATCCTGTAAATATTTCTGTTTGTTCCATTCCAAAATCTCCCACTGTTTATAGTTCATGCATCTTTTTTTCAGGTGAGTGACAGAGATGCAGGAGGAGAGACCGGTGAAGGTACAGCAGGAGAGGCTGTAGGAGATGGAGGACGAGAGCCTGGAGGAGATGGAGCAGAGGCTGGAGGCTCACAGGTGAGGTTGAAATAATGAAGATACGATAGACATAAAATTGATCATTGTGACAAATGTTAGGGTGATGATCATGTGTAAAACATTAGTTCAGCATGTCCTCTAACACAGCAAATGAAATAACGGCCAGATCTCAGGAGGGACCGTTTATGTATAAATACTTTTTATACTTTTGACTAGGCCTGGGAAAGTAACAAATTTTGCTGGACGATATTTTGTCCAACAAATTGTTGATGATAAACGATATCATTGTCAACATTATCTAGACCAAAATAACCACTAATATAATGTTAATATATCATAATAATGCAAGTACACCCTTTAAAATGCAACAAATAAACCTTCATTTAACATTGAAATGTCCAGAACCAGAACTTCTAAATGAATAAAAATAACAAACAAAAATTAAATAAAAAAAAGAATCTCACTCCCTGTTAGAAAATGTTGCACCAAAAACAATAAAAAAAGACCCAAAACAATAAATACAATGGCCTATCCATTGTCAACAGCCAAAACTGCACTTCAATAATGATAATAAATATTAATGATAATAGAGTTGTACATTTTTTAACTTTGATACATATATATATATATATATATATATATATATATATATATATATATATATATATATATATATATATATATATATATACATATTGAGGATGGAAAAATTATTGAGATGGGCATGTGACGTGTCAAAGGGTCTTTACATAACACCCCCACCCCAAATCCGCACAAGCCTGCTGTGTCCCCCCCACTTCTGAAATCAAAATTTCGTCCCTGGTTGGGATGGAGGGGGATGTCGAAAGTGCTAACAACCTAAATCTACACTTCAATAGGTTCAACTGCCCTGCGTCTCCTGTCTCCACAGCCAGCTCTTCCCATCTTCTCCTTCCATCCCCCCCCCCCCCCCCCCCCCCCCTCCTGCCCCCTCAGACTGTCTCACCCTGTCCCTCTCAGCAGATGACATCAAAAAAGAACTGGGCAGACTCCACCCCAGCAAAGCTGCTGGTCCTGATGATGTCAGTCCCAGGGCCCTTAGGTGTTGTGCTTCCCAGCTGTCTGGAGTTTTACAACGGATCTTCTACATGAGCCTAGAGATGCAGAGAGTTCCATCACTCTGGAAGACGTTTATCATTTATTTATTTGTAGTTTGGTAGAGTGACATCTAAACGGGCCGTATTAAACACGGCTAAAATGTTAAAAAGAATGATAAATGACCCGCACTTGTATAGCGCCTCTCAGAGTAAAGACTCCAAAGCGCTTTACACAACAGTGAATCATTCATCCGTTCACACACACATTCACGCACTGATGGTGATGTGCTACGATGTAGCCACAGCTGCCCTGGGGCGCAATGACAGAGGCGAGGCTGCCGAGCACAGGCGTCACCGGTCCCTCCGACCACCACCAGCAGGCAAGGTGGGTTAAGTGTCTTGCCCAAGGACACAACAGCAGAATTCTCTATCCGGAGCAGGAATTGAACCTGCAACCTTCCAATTACTGGACAACCCACTCAACCTGTTGAGCTACTGCTGCCCCAACAAGCCTTGCCTTTGTTTCCCTCTGGTGCCCACTGTTGTGGTTTTTATTTAAGCTAAATGTTTCTTTCTGAACAAAAACTTCTGGGGTTCTTTCTTTTAAAAGTGGGGGACGGAATGAACCGCTGCTGCGTTTGGACGCACTCTGAGGAGGCAGCTCGCTGCCAGAGGTCACATGATCCATTTATCCCAGTCACTTTCATTTTTTAATCATTCGTTACATTTCCATTCATTTTAACTAATATTTAGTCCAACCGAGCTGATCAGCAGATGAACGAATTTGATCAAGAATCTGTTCACTTTAGTTCCTGTATGCGAGCATCAGCCACAGCGCTCTCCTGCGTCATCTCTTTGATCTTTAAACGGAGATCCTGCAAACATATCAACCAAGTTTTGGTCCTTTAAAAACAGAATTTGAGATTAAAACATTGTTTTTATCTCTTGTTGCTGCAGATCATACCTGAATCTGGTCATTCGCCTCATCCAGGTATCCCTGAAGCACTCGGATGTCCTCTCTCAGCTCTTGCATTACAACTGAAAAACAGAAACGCATCAGTTTTACAGAACCAACGAAAGGAGCCTAAATGCATCGTTGTAAGCAGAAGTTAGTCTTTAAAATATAGCATGTCTCATTTTCTTCCCGCTGTGCATCGACTTGTCCACGTTTGATTTAGAGCTCACCATTTAACCGAGCGTTTTCATTCTCCAGATCCTCGCCTTGAGCTTTGGCCACATGATGCAGATCCTCTAAAAAAAAAAACCATTTAATCAGGACAACTCATTTACCTCCTAGTAGCACTAAAAAGTCACGCCTGTACCCAGTTCTTTGTTCTTGTCACTCAGAGCAGAAGCAGTGGCCCTGGCAGTCTCCAGATCCGACTCTAACGCCTTTAGCTGGCTTTCAGTGTTGATCTGAAGGAGACTTAACTCCTGGAAGCAGACCAACGTTGCGTGTTAGAACTATTTCATTAGCTTTCACAGCAATTACATCTACACGGAAAACATCACACCTGGTTTTTAGCATCCAGGTTGTTCCTAGCTTCCATCAGCTCCATTGTGAGAGAATTGATCCTCTTTTTTGTGGTGTCAGCAGAAACCTGGATAAAAGCGTTCCGTGTTGAGCGCTGTGCAGCTCAAAGGGAAACACGAGAAACGCATCCACACACCTTGGCTTTCAAAAACTTGACTTTCGTCAGCTCTGCCCGTTGCCTCTCCAGTGTGATCACGCTGGCGTTGAGGCCGGTCTTCTCCCGGACTGCAGTGAGCAGCCTGGCCTCCACCTTCTTCAGCTCCTCCTCCAGGACCTGAAGGCGTCGGTCCTGCTCCCCCCTCTGCTGCACCAGGGAGTTGATCTGGTAGGATCAAACAGCCGAGGGGATTTCTCACACACACGTTAACTGATGCACGTTTCCTAGAGCCAATGCTTTCAAAGGCTGTACCTCTCTCTCCAGGAGTTTCTGCTGCTTCCTCTCCAGGGTCATGCCACTCCGCTCCCTCTTTGCACTTGAGCAATCGTTCTGGGTTTTAACGGGTTAGAAAACAGCAAGACTGTATTTGTGTGGAAGCATCTAAATGTTCGACTGATATTTCACATTTAAATAGACTTAAACTTACAAGACCGTCCGCTGATAAAGTCCCCCGAACTGGAGACACAAATACATTACCGGAAGGAGAGGACGGCAGCAGAGCAGCCTCGGCAGCTAAAAACAAGAGCCAATAATAAGTCGCTAGCTTGAATTTAACATTTACTTGATTTAAATGTCTAGGACAGCTACCTACCCGCCTTCACGGGCTTGAATCGATCCGATTTATTAAAGGTTGCGGCTCCCTTCAGCTCGTCTTTTTGGACGTCATAAGTCCCCGGTGGAGGAGCACAACCTTCGGTCCAAAACAACCAATAGTCAGAAAGGCATGACTCCGTCTGTGCCGGCGTCACGTTATACAGTTCACTTGATGTCCTTTCATCAAACTACCAACCAAGACGTCAAAGCCACCGAGGGCAGTCTGAGGTTTGATTAGCAGTAAGCTAAGTACGTCAGCTAAGCTACTTGCCGTTGAATAAGTGAAGTGGACAATTGGCCCACAAGCTGCTAGCTGTTTTTAATGTTACTTACCTACGTGTTCATTGAACCTCTTAAAAGCAGCTCTCGAAAAGGACATTTTTGTTCTAAACTTTCCAAAGTTTTGTTCAGCTTTCGCAAAGGCTGCAGGGCAGCTGCAGGTGAGCACAACAAACGCTAACGATCTGCCGTTGAAATTTCAAACTTACGTCACGCGTAAGTTTGAGTGTGCGTGTCCAATAGAATTTGAGAACAAGACATCGAATAGGGATACACCATAGACTGTACATACTGGACAAACGGATTCCATTGCCTCCAATAACGTTGGTTACGTATTGTAACCCCAGATTCTATGAGTCTAGTCGCAGCCCTTAAGCGAGCTGCTATTGGAAGGGTGATCTCAGCATCAGCCAATCATGAAGAGCTTAAATGTACGCCCACCACGTGGGCACCCCTTGTGGGTATATAAGTGGAGCGACTCCACTGCTCGCCTCCGATGGCTCTTAGTCCTAACAGAACCAGTGTGGCCAAGTGGCTTAAGGGCTGCGACTAGACTCATAGAATCTGGGGTTACAATACGTAACCAACGTTCTATTTCGTCTAGTCTTAGCCCTTAAGCGAGCTGCTATTGGAATAAAGCGCAGCTGGATGGGTTTACGCCACACTGGTTAGCTCAACCAATGGACACACCCAACATGTCTCCTTTTAGTGGGGGTAGCTCAGCCTCAGACCAGGGCTTAAAAGGCTGAGGCAGCCAGAGAGAAGAGTGGGGCCACCACTAAAAAAATATCATCCACAAGAGGATGAAATTCATTCAAGCAGGGCTGATGAGGTGCCATAATGCGTTCACTCAGCCTGCTGAGGTCCAAGCACTGAACGAGTGATGGATCCTGAAGACACATCTCGTAAATTATAACGAGTAAAGGAACAGGGTGAAGCCCATGAAGCAGCCTGACAAATGTCTTCCATCGACACACCACTGTGGGGCGCCACAGAAGAGGAAATCCCTCTGGCTGAGTGAGCCCTGAGTGTCTCAGGAGGATCCAGCCCCAATGATGTGTAAGCGAGTGAAATGGCGTCACATAGCCAGAGTCAAAGGCGCTGGGCCAACAGCGCTTGCCCAAGGGAAGACTCCCTGTAGTGCACAAACAGGCTTGTGAGCGGCGAATCCCTGAAGTGCGTGACACATATCGTGCGAGCGCGCGCACCGGGCAGAGAAGATGGGAAGCCGCCTTCTCCTCAGAATTATGGGGAGGAGGAAAAAGTCCAGCCAATGAAATTGACCTGGATTTGAAGGAAGTATTAATGTTTTTTGGGCACAAAGGCTGGGTTGGGGCAGAAAACAGCAGACCCGCCATCTGCCCGGATCCTGAGGCATGCGGGAGCCACTGAGAGGGCGGTTTGGTCGCTCACTCTCGTGACTGATGACAGTGCCAGCAGCAAGGCAGTTGTAAGTGACAGAAACTTGAGTGAGACCTGGTCCAAGGGCTCAAATGGGGCTTCAGATAAGCCACGCAGAACCACCGTTAGATCCCACTGGGGAATTAGCGGACGGGACACAGGTCTGTTCCTCCTGACACCTTTTAGAAAACGTTTTGTGAGGGGATGATTGAAAACAGACCTATCACCAAAACCCTGGTGACAGGATGAGATAGCTGCAGCATATGTCTTAATAGTGCTGAATGCGAGGCCCCTGTCCGTCCGTATCTGCAGAAACGATAGGACATCCGCCAGCTGGCAGGAGAGCGCTTGAACATTCCGCTCTGTGCACCAGTTCTGGAAAGCTGCCCATTTAGCAGCGTAAGACGCAATGGTAGAGGGCGCCCGCGCACTCTGAATCGTGGTGACCACATCACGCGGCAGCCCAGAAACCCCTAATCGAAACCGCTCAGCGGCCAGACCCACAGCCGATGGCTTATTTCCAGAGGATGTCTGATTATCCCATCCGCCTGGGGAGGGGCGTCCTCCCTTCGCGGGAGTCTCCACTGGGAGCAGGACAGTAGCGTTTGCTGGTCCGGAAGCCATGACGCGAACAGGCGTCTGGGAGACACCAGAATTACCGAGAGCTGTTCTGACCGAACTCGGTCCAGGAGACGGGGAATCAGAGGGACTTGTGGAAACGCATAAAGGAGCGTTCGAAGCCCGGGCTGGTGTGAGAAGGCGTCCGCTCCGAGCGAGGTTTGGTCCCGGAGACTCAGGGAAACCCACAGGCGACACTGAGCGTTTTCGCGAGCCGTGAACAGATCCACACGGTTCCCCGAACCTTATCCAGATCTGTGATATCAGCGCGGGATGCAGACGCCAGTCAGAGTCGCGGGGACCCCCTCTCGACAGGATGTCTGCCGCTACATTCAGGATCCCCGGAATGTAGGTGGCACAGCAGGTGGACATGTGCCCAACACAGTAAATCTGTGGCTATGCGCAATAGAGGGGGGGATCGAACTCCCCCTTGGCGATTTATGTAGGCTGCCGCCACCTGGCTGTCTGTGTGAACTTCGACATGACGGCCATCGAGAAGGGCAGCGAAGTGCATGAACACATTCCTCACTGTCATAAGCTCCAACACATTTATGTGCTCGTGCGTGTGGGAGGGCCAGCGATCTGCCGCCGTATGGGACAAGCACGTGCCCTCCACCCCAGACAGTGACGCATCCGTAAACACAGATACGTGTGACGCAGGACATCCGATGGGAATCCCGTGTGAGGGGATGCAGGGATTCCCCCAGTGAGCGAGGTCCCCGCCCACTGAGGGGGGAACCCTCAACATACGTCTCTTCTGACGTATCGGGTGTACCCGGAGGCAGATGAACCAACTTGCAGGCGCCTCGAGTGCAAAAACCCCAGCAGCACCACCGAGTGGGCTGCAGCCATCATGCCCAGAAGTCTCATGACTAACAGGGCTCTCACGATCTCGCGGAGTTGCACGCGGGAGATCACCGTGGTGAGATCTGCCGCTCTCACCGGCGACGAACGTGCTCTCATTAGAGAGGCGTTCAGCTCCACCCCAAGAAACATAATCGACTGGGATGGAAGAACGAAGTTCTTCCCCCAGTTTATAGAAAACCTCAGGGTTGACAGATGCTCTGTTAACCTCCTGGTTTGCACTGACGCCCCGTCCTCGGACCAGGCGCATCGGAGCAGATCGTCCCGGTAAAATAAAACCCTCGTTTCCGCCGTGCGCAGTGGCTGCAGCGCGGTCTCCAGACATTTGGAGAAAGTGCGCTGGGCTAGCGAGTAGCCGAAAGGGAGGCATTCGTGCGCGCGTTCTGACAGCGGACGTGTGCTCGAGGTCACGTGAGCAACGTCTGAGGATTGGTTTCGCGCCCTTACCGCCGTCGCTCGTACCAGAGAACTGGGAGCGACCCATGGAGGGCTGTGCTCGAAAGTGCGAGTGTGAAACAGCTGGAAGAGGCTGATCCGCACCGCAGAGCGTGGAGTCCATGAAGGACGAGTGGGAACCGGGCCCGTGCACGGAGACGTCAAAGTGCCAGCGGATGGAGCCGCGCAATGTGCGCGCTTTGCGCGTGGTCGCGACAGTGCCATGACATCCCGTCCCACCCAACGTTGTGGGGGGAAGCGGGATGAGTCGGGCCTGGCCGTAGGCTGGGGGCGGTGCGCAAATGGAGCGCACCCTTTTACAGCTAACCGTGTAACATGACCGAGTCCGACTGTGTGAACATGCAGATGTGCTGCAGTGCTTGGTGCGGGGAACATCATGTGTGAGGATTCGGCAGAAGGTTCTGCAGAGGACTGTAGGATTCTGCTCTCGATGTGACGTTTTTTGAGTTTTATTTCAAAACCAAAATAATTCACAGAGTTAACATTGCAGCCATAAGCACACACATTCCCCCCAACGAGTCGTTTTCGTGGTTGTTTTCGGCGAGGTTCCTGTGACTGCCAAGCTGTGTCTGCTGGCTCGTTCGGAACCATTGGCCGCCAACTCCCTGGTCCCGCCTCAGCGGGAGGCCGGCTCCGCGGGGCGGGCCGTGCAGCTGGGCGCATGGAGTTTCCGCGCCGTTTGTCCCATCCTCTGGGGGAACGGCCGGAGTGCGAGGCTGACCGAGAGTGGACCAGGTCTCGCACCGTGGCTGAAAGTTCAGCCGCTAAGCCCTCTAGATGACGCTCGTAAGATGGGGACCAAACAGAACATCAGAGGTGATGTGGCCTTCCAGCATCTCCCTGTGCAGGTGTTCAGGAATGGAGGGCAGGGCCGTGAGCCACAAGGCCGCTGGATAAGGGTCTGCCAGGCAGCAATGCGAGTAGAACCGGTGAGTACAGCAGCGCACAGATTGAGAATGGCATCAGCAGTTTTAGTAATGATGGTTTTTGACTCGACAGGAGAGTCAAGCTCCTCCACCATTTTGGAAACGCCAAAGGCGAGAAGGCGATGGGATTTCCTGCAGCGCCGGTCTGGAAGGCGCACTGGTGTGCGCGATCGGCGAGCCGCCTCAGCAGCTGGTCATGCTTAGCGGGAACTGCTCGCGGTCCAGTGAGGTGGTTCTTGACGCCACACAGCGAGGTCAAGTCCGGCTCCAGTGGAGGAACGGATGGCCAGCCCTGGTCGGAGAAGCCCTCGACCTTGGTAATGGGCGCATATGTGAAAATTGGCGCCTCGAGCCTGGCAGGCTCGGAAGCGGCGGACCAGCAGCTCATGGCAGCTGGGAAGCGCGGCCAGACGGGGTCTGGACAGCGCGTCTGTGTTGCCCCGAAAATTCCCGCCAATTCATCTGCCTCAGGGGAGCCGGTTCTGGAACGGCTAGCCGCTTGCGGGTCGCAGTCGCGGAGATGATGGCGGGCAGCTCCTGGAGCAGCGCTCTAACTGCTGGCAGGGAGGAGCGAGAAACCACTGGAGCAGAAGGACCCGCTGAGCGAGGCTCGTCGACCTCCGTGTTGTACAGGAGGGAATAATGGCTGCAGCAGCCAGCCTCGTCGTGCTCCTCACAAGGCTCGTCGACCTCCGTGTTGTACAGGAGGGAATAATGGCTGCGGCAGCCAGCCTCGTCGTGCTCCTCACGAGGCTTCTCGACCTCCGTGTTGCACAGGAGGGAAAAAGGGCTATGGCAGCCAGCCTCGTGGTCGACCTCCGTGTTGTACAGGAGGGAAGAAGGGCTATGGCAGCCAGCTTCGTCGTACTTCTCGCTGTCGATGACACCGTCCAATCGGTAGGAGCCAGCCGGCTCCTGGCCGACGTTGAAGAACCGTAACGCCTTGTCCAGCGAGTACGTGCCAGCCACCGGAATTTCCTCGTCGGTGGAGGGGGTGAAGTACTCGACCCGGCGGACCTTTTCAGCCACAGGCAGAGCGGTACAA